GGGCTGTGGCTTCAGTCTGACTTACTCCAAAGAGAAGAGGGGAAAAAAATCCTTCACCAGAAGTACACAGTTTGTAAATTGAAATTCTACATTTGTTTTCTACAGCAACAACTTGGAACATACGGATTCCACGTTTAAGTGATTCACTTTCCATACCATTGCTGTCATGTTAGCATTTCCTGATGTATGCATGAGATTGCTTTAACCCTCTGTAATTGTTCTTAATTTTGGCTGCTGCTCTTCCATTACTTCCTAGACTGTTCTCTCTAAGATACGCTAGTGTACATCTGGGTTGCAGTCTTCTATATTTAGAGGAGATAAGGCTGTTGTCCTTGCCATATTTCAATGTGGATAATTGGTTTCTGTCTCTAAAATTACATTGAGTCTTTGGTTGCAGGAAGTGGGTTGCACCCACTGTGGTGTGGGTGTGCAGACAGACAGATAGTACTCGATCGTGCTTGAGTATCCTTAAAAAAAAGAGAGATCTTTATTGCATAAGCCTATTTCACACATGTATGGTATGAAGCATATAGTTCTGTCTCTGTTGCTGAGTTTTATTGCTTATCAGGAGTTTTTAATCGCCTTTTAATTGGAAGAGAGTAGCAATTTCAAGACGTGGCTGTATTTTGTAACGTTTGTACTAAAAATTGCCTTGTGTCAGCTGTTCCATGTAACTCCCCGTGTGAATGTGTTCCCCCGGGTGAGCCCATGGCAGCAAACCGTGGAACAGGCACACAGGCAGTCGCTGTGAGAGCTGATAAATGTGGTCCTAATGTACCTGCATCAGCTGCCCATATGCCCATGCTAATTTACAAAGGCGGTCTGTTCTTTATGTAAATAAAATGTTTCAGCCAGAGGTGGTCACAAGCAGCAGGTAGACTTTTCTGTCTTCCCTGGAGTCCAGCCTAGCCCTTGGAAGGGAGTTGTGCTGGTACAGTTCTTTGTAGTGGGCTGCAGTGCAGTGGTGAGCAGGCTTCTTTGCTGTTTTCTCCATCCCCCTACACCAGCCTGTTAATTCAAGTGCTACAAAGAACACAAGGTTCCTTCCAATACCAAAAATAAGTGACTCGGATGACTGTCTCTTCAAAGCACCACCTGGTGATCCCTGCAATAATGACACACTCACATGCGTCAAGTATTGCTGTGATTTCTGTTCCATTCAGGCTAAGAAAATATTAATCTTTCAGAGTCATAACTGATTACATTGAAAACCCTGTTAGGTTTTGTAATAACAGAAATCGTCATGTCTCACTAATAGCTTTCCAAAAAGCGGATGATACTGCGACCAGTCTGGTAAATAACTGATTCATTCAGTTCATTGGCTTTGTTCATCCCTACTTCAGATTTTGTTCACACAGATTTCCTCTACTTGTCAATAACTGTTGCTTGTGAGCAAGGTAATATTACACGGCCCTTCATTATTACACTCACTCCTAGTAGCTTTGAAGACATACCAAGGTGTGTCACAGCAAGATCTGGTTCATTGTCACTTTTTTCAAGTCATCTATTAATGAGGTGAATTCTTCCCTTGTTTACATGAAGCACAGTTTCAGGCTAGACTCTCCAGGCTCACGCCTTCCCTCTGTCAAGACGCTGCCAATAATTTCAGTTGAAGAGGATGGAGCCATGCATGGGAAATGCTTCACAGAGAGCTGATGGATGGCTCTGGCAGAAGCTTTGTTTTGTACTTCTGTTCTTGGATCGAGAGCTAAGAAAATCTCTTTAATTTCTTGTTCGATGAATACAGCAGATGTAATAATATCCTTCTCAAGCAGCCTTTTTGTTGTGAGGGCGTGAATGACATTAGTGCTTTTTGCCCCGGGTGCAGCGTTTAAGCTGTCAATAAATAAAAAATAAAAAAAATCATGGTAGACATTTGGAATGTTTTCTTAAGTAACTCAGGGAAAAAATCGCACCTGCTTTTGTGCTTTGATTCAGGCTGGGTTTTCTCTTTGTTTTCCTCACTTCCCCTCAAAAAGTAACCTTGTCCTCTGTAATCTGGGAAAGAAAAATCTGATGAAAAATTTTATTTAAAAATTTTATTTAAAATACAAAGAAAAATCAGAAAACTGTGAGGAATATGCCACAGAAGGAGCTATGTGTAACTGATAGAGGTGTCCCTGCAGGGTCAGCTTTTCTAGCATCACAGGCACTGCTCAAATACTCCCCACAGAGTACGAGACCACTGGTATTCTGCCTACCTCTTCTGTTTGTTTGGGGCTCTTTAGCCTCTAATGGAATTAATAGAACTGCTTATCTGGCCCAACTAGTTTCTAAACTAATTTCAGTTGTGCAGAAGCATTTAAGAAGTCGGGATTTCAGCATCCCCTCTGTATTTAGCAGGTGGGTTAGGGTAGCGTTCTGTTCCCGTGCAGTGAAATCCCTTGATGGAGGCTTACAGAACAAACAGTGCAATCGAGTCATTGAGGTCACCCCTGCTCTGACATAGGCAAGTAAAACGAACCTTTCCTTCCAGAGGGAAGTACAAAATCAGTCTATTTTGGACCTTTTGCTCTATGAAAGAGATACTGCTTTTCAGTGGTGTCATGCTAAGTAGAAATCAGCATTACGTGATGCTAAGCTGAAATTAAGGCTAATGTGTGAGGTTCCTCTCTGCTTTTCATTTGTTAACCTAAACCTGTCAAATATTATTTTGCTTTCAGGTATGTCGTGTGTTTCTTAATTTTGGGGACCTTTCATTGGACATGTTAATGGAAGATTTGGTGTGTGGCTGGCAAACAGTAACAACAGTGAAAGTAAATAATGTCTAGCTCATGTTTAGCACTTCTCGTCAGCAGATCTCAATTCATTTCACAAAGAAGGAAGGATTTTCAAAGACAATTTCCAGTGCAGAGCTGGGTAGCTTGCAGTGGATTTTTCTATGGGTTGCTTCTGTGTGGAAGGGGTAGTTGTTTTTTTCTGTGGTAGGTTTCTTTTTTGTTGTTACTGTTTTTTCCCCACCTACTGAGATAGCTCAGTTAATACTGCGATCTGTGTCCTACTCGTGCAGCATGTGTTCAGTGCAGTGCTTTTTGTTCAGCAGCTTACATGCATTTCTTGCCTTCTGGAAACAGTATGTTTGATTGCAGCAGAGCTTACATGCGACATTGTAGAGGGTTTTAAAGCAGCTTCTGTTTCCCCTGCAGATGGAGTACTGAAGGCGCAGTGTACACTGAGGGATTTGGTGTCAGGCAATCACTTCTCTGGGGGTCTAAATGAAACCTTCAAAAAGCATCCTTTTCTCTTTTACTTAGAAGATTGCTAAGTCAAACTACTGTCCCTGTCCATGGGGTATTTTTTATGCAAAAAGCCTTAAAGTACAGTTTCTTAAATTTATTTATTTGGATTCTTTCATCTGTATGCAGAATAGCTTGATTCCTCCACCAATGAGACAACGAGCTGGCAGAGACGTGTTACTCAGAGGTGCACTCTAGGTGAAGCTGTCCACTGGGATGGGAATATGAGCCCATGTTTGTAGTCCATGTTTGTAGAGCAGAGCAAAAAATCACATGGCACAATGCTTTTTCAAATGCTTTTTCTGCTTTTTCAAGTCCTGTTAGTGTTTTAAGGATCTGTGCCACGCCTGTTAGTCATCTCTTGTTAAAAAACAAGGCTTCTGACCAAGAGCCTTCGTAGAACAAGAATTCCAGCAACATGATACAAAAGTTTACAAACTCCTTAAAACCTAGCATAGGAGCAATTTTTTTCCCTTCATTTATGGTAAGTTCATATATGCATCTTCTCAGGCACCAGGGGAAGACGGGGAAAAAAACCTGGGTTGTGAACATTATTGTTAATTCAGATGCTTAGAAGTGAGCAGTATGTGACAGATTCAGAACTAAGGATGTATTTTTAAAATGATACCTTTGGGTTTTGTGCCTTCCAGTGAAAATGATCATCCTTTTCATATTTTTCTCAGTTATCTCAAGAATTGTAAACCCACTTTTAAAAAAGATATTCACAGTTCCTAACTACACTCTTTTCTTCTTGTTTCTGGAGTTCTCATTGAAACACTTAGCGTCCCCAGAATTGCAGAATTTAGTAGCAATATTTTTCATATAAATTGAATTCCTTCTTTCCTATACCCTCCCTCTGCACCTGCTAAAATGTTGGAACACTTTGGCAGTATAGCACAGTGAAGGATGATAATGTCAGTTATGGTATCAGGTAAGTTTGCTAAGTGTTTCAAATAAAATACGGGTACAGCTTGTTCAGTACAAAACCAGAAATGAGTGTAACAGTTAAAATTGCATTTCCCATGCAAATTTTAAATTTATTTATTTTTTCTCTTGAAATTTTGCCAGCTTCTTCAGAAGTAGAATTCCACTCTGAGATTTCTACGTGCTTTCTAGTGCTTGCACATTTTCAATCGTGGCAGCACCCCAGCCACACTTCAGTCAAGAACGATTCGTGTTTTTGTCATCCCAAAGTTGGTCCTCCCAGTTGCTCATTATGATAAAGCATGATAAACAGAAACCAAAATCCCTAGAGGTGGATTTTACATGCACAGTGTAGTGCGTGCGCTTTGCTCTGTCACTGGTATTTTCTGAGACTGTCATATATGCCTTCTGGCTGGCAGGCAAAGATGAAACACGAGTGTTGGAAGGCATAGCTGTGAGACCAAGGCAAGAACTTTGAACCCAAAACTGGAATTTCCCTGCATTTGGACTTGGACAGTTTTGGTGTCCAAGCAGAATCCATTACAGTTTGCAGATGTGTGAGAGGTAATGCTCTGGAGGAAGAAATTCAGAGGAGCTCTGGTATTCCAGCTTACCTCATGCCCAACTGACAAGTTCATATCAGAAAATTAAGAAACCTGCATCAGTATCGATGAGAATTAATTAAAGTAGGATTTTCTGTGTTCTATATACAATTTTTGGTTTTGTTTCCAAAACGTATGCTGTTCCTGGTTTCCAAACTTTGCATTAATGTGATGTGGAAAACTGAATGTCAGCACTTACGTATATTATTTACTGTGTTGCTCCATCTTCCCTTGTCAGCACTTACAGAACCCTGCAAACTTCCATAATGCAGCTACGGAGCTCCTGGACTGGTGTGGTGACCCCAGAGCCTTCCAGAGACCATTTGAGCAGAGCCTGATGGGTTGTTTGACGGTATGTCCGTTCCTCCTGTGGCAGAAGTTTTATCCTCTGGTTTATACCGTACGTTGTGGCCGAGGGAACTTGATTTTCAGCGTCTGCATTCTGTGGTTTTCACCCTTTTATCTTAAACACATGAAGGCAGACCCTAATGACTGTTTATTTGATTCTCTTACTGCACAGGAAGCAAAATTCAGTATCAAGAGGTTAAATCATAATATATATATAGAGAGAGAAATAAATTACTAAATGCCTAGCACAAGCTAGGTTACTTGACATGCACATACACTATTTACTTTCATGGTTTGAGATGGCCGATCAAGTTATCTTCTTACAGATTTAACAGGCTTCTCAGGTTTTTATTTTCCATCACTTGATTTTTGGTGGGTTTGGAGGGCTGCATGTCTTCTATCTTCAGCATGTTGAACCTCCAGCTGAACAATGCTTCTGCCTGTTGGGTTTGGTTTGCTGCATATCTTGGCTGCAGGTCTAATCCTGACATAGTAATTTTTACAGTTTTGTTGACATTGTTGCTTTTCCGTCCATTCATTCTTCATTAAGACTTCTGTAGCTCCTAAAGCAACTTTATTATAATGTACAGAAAACGTATTTTGTACACAACTACTTTTAGTTTTATTTCACATGCATTCAGCTGTGGGTTCCAGTCCAAAATTATTATGTAGAGTCAAGACTTTAGAGGAATTAAATTCTGTCTGGACTAGGAGAGTTCAAAAGCTTCACCGTGATTTGCAGAACAAGATTATACAAATAGTTCTGAAGCAGTCAGAAATTATAAAATCATTAATGGAGAGACCATCTTTGTTGTTGGGAGGGAGTGAAAGTGCATGGATTATTCTCATGCAGTCTGTAAGTGATGCATATGAAACAGACAATAGATCGAGGTTTAGTTGCAGAAATCCAAATGTTAAGGAATGGCTCCATCTTAGTGTGCTCAAGTGTATAGCATCCCTCAGATTTCTATGCCAAAAAGTTAGAATAAACCCAGTGATATAAGAAAGCATATATCATTCTTCCAAACAGAAAAACAAAAACAAAGAAAATAAGAAATGTTAGTAGAGTCCAAATATATGATGTTTAAAGATTGTGTGTGAAGTGAAAGTTACCTTTGATATATAACCTCAACCGTGAATAAATGCGATGGTTGTGGTGTGTGACTGTAAATGCATTTTATTTATACTTTTCAGAAATTTAGCTAGCATTTTGAGGTTAGCATTCAGGAAAGGAGACATGCAACTCAAGCATGCTTAGGCAACCCAAACACAGTATTTCTCTGCAGACCTATGCTAGAACACTGTAAATCAGACCTGCGACTTCCTTGCTGTTTAAATCTTTTCTTTTTATATAAGCAGACCTGCAGTCCGTCCCAAGTGCAGGGTCAGAATAAGTGATGGACTGTCCTCACAGCAAAAGGAAAGAGAGAAAGACATTCTCCCTGAAAAACAGTGAGAGAAAACACACATTATCTTGTTAGCAGAATACATGGAAATGAAAGTACTTTTTTTTTTTTTTTTTTTTTCCTGACAAGCAGGAAAGAAAAAAACAATCCTTATTGTCTAAGTACTGTTAGCATTTGAACATTATGTATTGCTTTGCTTCATAGTCCTCCATGAACTAAGAGCTGGGTGGCATGAAATCCCCCCTTTCCCAAGGTTGCTACAGAATAAAAGCACTGTCTGCAGCGTAGGATCTGACTGGCAGCATCATCTTTATCATATCATGTAATTTCATTATGCTCCTAGCAAGGAAAAAGCACAGGAACTTAACCTGCTAGCTTGTTTTGTGTTAGATGATAAATACAGAAGACATGTAGATTGCATATTAATAGTAAGGAATAGAACAGTTTCTTTCTTGTTCCTAATTGTAAAATTCCTCTAATTAAGGTATTCTTTCATTTCTCACAGTGTATATACCTCTTCCTACTTCCCATTAAATATTCTTTCTTACATTGCTACAACCCAAGAGTGTGATAACTCCTGGTTCTTCCTAATGCACAGCAGTATAGTAGGCAAGGTCTCTTTTTTCTTTTAAAAAATCATTCTATCTGCGCTTGCTTTATATATAGCCTCTTTTTAAACAGTTTTCTTCCAGGTATATTAAGGGTGGATGTTAAGACTCCTTGTTTACTCATCTTACAGGAAAATTTGTTTGTTTAATAAAAATGTTAAAAATGTATAAAAACTTAAGTGTTTACAGGGCAATTATTCAGAAATAAAAAATAATAAAGAGAAGGGCAACTGAAATACTGGAATATCATGAGTAAATTTATCATTAGTTTGCTTAGTAGCATATTCTGTACTACCAAGAGCCAATTTTTAGTAACACTGACAAAGTTTATCAGTGTTTTTCTTTGTGAAGATTATGCTAAAAGAAAATAAAAATGAAAAATCTGTATGAAAGTATATTAAACCACTAGAGCAGGATTATTGTTTTATTTTGCCAGTATTTGAAATGACCTTCAAAAACAGATTCCTTTAAAACTCCCATACTTTAGGGATATGCTTTTTAAAACAAGTAGTCTCTACCATCATTTTAACATTTGAGTTCCATGGACTCCTAAGGGCATGTGCATTTATTTCTGAAAAGCTGTAAACACTACAGACGATTGCTTATAAGGCTCCTCCTCTTTAGTGTACAGAAGGATTTTTTTCTCTTATGACACTATTGTGTTAGCTCTCTGACCAGGGAAAAAGCACGACACTAAACTGTTCCTGGAACCGTCAAAGGATATGAAATCATATCCTACTAGAGGGTAACACGGTATATCCTAATCCAAATTGAAATATATTAATGTCATGGCTGCAGAAGGGCAAGCTGTCTCAGGGATGAACAAACCATCCATTCACACACATCAAAGTTTAAATGCATCAGATGTAATGACAGAGCATCAAAACACATCTGTTGTATTATGAATAGCCAATTTAATGGTAGCTCTGCAGGTATAACAGATTCTTTGCCTCAGTCAAGTCTTTTCTACAGTACTTTTGCAAAAATTAACCAAGTGGAATTAATTGTATTAATAAAAAGAAAAGGCACTGAAAATCTTGATTATGCTTTAATCTGAGGAGTGGTTCTTAAGAAGTAATTCTGTTTGTTCTATGCACCATCTTCTTGTCTGCACTCTTGGTAATGTCTGATTGACTTTATAACAACAGTATGTTTTTATTCCTGTTGCCAATCTAACAGAACCTGAATGGATGCAGAAGAATGGTCTTAGAAATATTCTGCTTGGGCAGCAGCAGTAAAGCTTCCAGCTTCACTTAGGAATTGCTTCTTTTGATAATAACATCTACGATAGGCTGTCACAGAAGGTTTCCTGCGCTTACTTTTTAATGCTAGCACTTAAAGAAATCTTAGTGACTGGAAAATTTCATAAGTTAGCTAAACAGAGAGCATGTGCAAGACAGAGAGCACGTGCAACATCAACACATGTCCAGTGTTCTTTTTTCTTCTTGTGTGTAATAGATGTGCACAGTATACATACTGGCTATAAGCAATAATTACTGTGTATCAGTATGTGATACTACTGGAGTTAAACTTGCTATTTCTAGGCTCCAGTGGCGATCTATGCAGAATAACAGGTGTGGGTATTCTTAGCTCAAAAACAAACTCAGGATTTGTTACAGCAGCTGAAAATGTACCAGACAGACAGCTGTCAATTAAAGCCTGTTAACAGGCTTTGTTTAGCTAGGTAAATACCCTGCATTTGTTATGTAGAAACCTTTTAATGATTATTCCTGTAGAGGTGAAATAACTTCAGCTTGTTATTTCAGGAACTGAAACTGATGCTGTCAAGGCCTAAGAAAAAAACGGAATAATTCTGTGAAGTGCAAACAGTTAGAGGAAAGGCTTAGGGTGAACCTATGGCATCTTAATGCTAGCAAAATAAATTATATTTTTCATGAACTAAGCCTTGAAAGCTGAGACCCTTGTAAGAAAAAAAACACAAGAAGTGTGATTGCGCATTCATCGCCATTATGCTCAAACAGGTCTGATGGATGCTAGCTTAAGAGCTTACCTTTTTATGTTCACCTGATATAGAAAATCACCCAATTGAGCAGGTAATATAAGTTTATAAAACAAACAAAAGCATTTAAACAGATAAATGGAAGTCAAGGAGGGAGGGATCAGCTTTGAATGTGTTTTCTTTCCTGCCAGTTACAGGCTACAGAAAAATTGCCTTTAGCAGCTTTGATAGAGCACACCTAAACAAATTATGTCCTTTCCCAGGGACAATAAACTCCTTTCTAACTCGCCAAGGAAAGCTGGGTGCTATTCTTCAAGAGTAGTTATTTTGAAAACAAAGAGAACTGTCCATAGGCCCAAAAAAAAAAAAGGAAAAATGGTCCTTCATTCTCAAATAAATTATTGAAATTGCAATCGATGTGATTTTTGGTATGTGACTAGCTCTTGCATAGTGTTAGAGGGAGCTGTAAAATTGCCTCTACTTCCCACAACAGTTTCTGATTCTAGTGTTCATAGTTAAAAAACAAGCACTCTGGGATGAGATTATTTTATAAGTCTAGTATTATTGGTAAGTTTAGGAATGGGATTATTTTTATTTGAAAACCTGCTGCATATTGCACTACCTTACTTTGGTTTAAAATAAATAGCTTATATTACTAGACAGCAGTTAGAAAAATAACCCTGGTTTGGCTGGACAAGGCTGTCTCACTCTTTTCTGCCTTTTTGCAGATCCACTCTAGTCTCGTCCCATAGGTCTGCTCTTGCTGAACAGTTTAACATGTAAATGATCCCACCGAGGGCATGGCTACCTTTTGTGTCTGCGCTGCAGTAAAAATGGAAACCAGGGGACAGCTGAGAGCAAAATGGACAGATTTACAGACTTGTCTTCAGCTGCTTTCAGGGAAGGACAATAAAGGCACTGCTTTGGTCTCTCACTGTGCTTCAGTGTTACAATGCACGGAGTTCATCGTTCTTTAGGACTCTGCAGCAGTGTGCCTGAAAAGGAAATAAAAGGGGGAAAAGAGGCACAG